TTATATGTACTAATCCATTTACTCTTCATTATAACCTTGTAAAGTAAGTTTTACTTTAATCCCCACTGTATACTTGAGAAAACTGAGGTACAGAAAAATTAAGTTTACTTGCCCCAGGTCATACAGGACAAGCACCAAAGCTGAGACTTGAATCCAAGCTATCTGGTTACAGAGTCTGTATTCTAACCATAACTCTACATTGTCACCTAAAAGCCTAATCATTACAAGTATGTGCCTGATACAAATCAAGCAGTACCAAATATATGTAGAAAGAAATAGTGAGGTAGGTGTGCCAAATCTGTTGACAGATGACAGATTAGTTTGACAACACCGTGCCTTACATTTATGTAATGCCTACTTTGTATAAGGCATTGTGAGGAATGTAAAGAAGTCAAGAGATAGCATGAAAGGAAAATGGCACACTAAGTATTTTAGCTTTCATAGACAAATTATGTTGCCTTTAGTAAGCACAAACTTTGCTAAGTTTAATAATTTATTTCCAACAAACTAATATTGTGAGGAATGTAAAGTAAAAAAGATAGTGTGAAAATGGCACACTAAGTATTTTAGCTTCCATGGACACATTATTTTTGCTTTAGTAAGCACAAACTTTGTTAAGTTTAATAATCTATTCCCAAGAAACTAGTAGCATGACTTTTCTTTGTGTGCATCTCTCTCAAGTTGGTTTTCAAAAAGCATCAAAATACAAAAAATACCATACTTGTTTCCTATAAGACTAGCTGTATGAAGGCTTCGTGGAAGTGGCACTGTCCCTTTGGTTTCTGGTTTTGACCATGACATGGTTTCTAAAAGTAAAAATAATTGTATTAGCAATTTAACAACAGCAAATTACAACTTCATAATTTTTAAAAATAAAACAAAGACTTGTCAAAATGAAGGAAAAATATTTTAAGTTATTTGAACTTCATCTTAAAATAAACATTTCCAGCTGACATAAATTGCCAATCAGAAATCTACTTACACTTGAATATTAGTACAGTTAACTCTCTGTATTGGTGGTTCCCTTGTCTGTGGATTCAACCCACCATGGATTGAAAATATTCAGAAAAAAAAAAAATCGAGTCTATACTGGACATGTACTAACTTTTTTTTCTTATCATCATTCCCTAAACAATATAGTATAACAACTATTTACTCGGTATTTACATTGTATTAGCTATTACAAGTAATCTAGACATGATTTAAAGAATACAGGAGGATGTGCAAATAACTATGCTATTTTATATTAGGGACTTGAGCATCCATGGATTTTGGTATTGAGGGGAGGTTCTGGAACTGATCCTCCATGAATACTTAGAGATGACTTTATTTCTAATGGAGAAGTGAGCTTAGGGTGCCACTAATTTTGAATTAAGAACAATATTAGGGATTTTACTATCTATCTATCTATTTATTTATTTTAAGACAGAGTCTTGCTCTATCGTCCTGTTAGAGTATAGTGGCGTGATCATAGCTCACTGCAACCTCAAACTCCTGGGCTCAAGCAATGCTCTTGCCTCAGCCTCCCAAGTAGCTGGGACTACAGGCACACGACCATGCCCGGCTAATTTTCTATTTTTAGTAGATACGGGGTCTCGCTCTTGCTCAGGCTGGTCTTGAACTCCTGAGTTCAAGCAATCCTCCGGCCTCGGCCTCCCAGAGTGCTAGGATTACAGGCATGAGCCACTGCACCTGGCTGGGATCTTACCATTTTAATACATTGACTGCCACACTAGGAAAAAAATTTTTCCTTGGGGCCACGGTGTTTTATTATGAAAATAGAATAAAAACTTCAAGAACAAAATGATTCTTTTTAATTTAATGAAAAATTTGTTATTTTTTATTGTTTTCTGTGCATGAGTTACATGCAACTTGAAAATTAGTTCTTATGGCTCCCAAGGTGAAGAGACATGAGTTACATATGGTTCATGAGGCCCAGGCTCAAAACTAGCATGAGTTAAATACAACGCAAATGGCAGTTAATGTGTTAAATAAGAGGACATTGTGTAGAAGATAGTCAAAGGTGAGAAAACTTTAAACTGTGTTTCTCAGGGCCCTAGGTCTTTTTTTGTTTGTTTGTTTTTGGTGATAGGGTGTCACTCTGTTGCCTGGGCTAGAGTTCAGTGGCATCATCAGGTATGTTTTATAATCTGTTTTTCTCATATAACATCACATATTACATCTCCAGATCTAATTTCTCTACTGGCCTCCAGATTTGTTTATTCATTCAACTGCCTACTTGATCTTATTTCAAAGTTAGCATGGTCTAAATGGAACTCTTAACTCTCTCCACAAGGCTGTTTTCCCTTAGTCTTCCCCATCTCAGTAAATTATTCATGCTAAAAATTTCACCCTCTTTTCTTCCCTTTCTGTCCCCTGCCACACTCAATTTATCAGCCAGTTCTGCCAATAAGAACTCCAAAATATATCCTGAATTTATCCATTCCTCCTCTTCTCCATTGTCACCACTGTAGTCTAAGACACTTCTTTGACTACTGCAAGAGCCTCTAACTTGACTTCCTGTGTGCAATTTATCTTCCATACAACTGCCAGTGACCATTCCAAAGTACATCAGATCATGTCACATCTCTCCTTCAAACTTACACATAACTTACCACTGTACTTTAAAAATAATTTAAACTCTACCATGTTCAAGGCCCTCATGATCTGACCTGTGGTCACCTCTCTAACCTGCATTTCTACACTCTCCTCTTTGTTTATTCAGCTCAAATCTGCTCACAGACACGCCAAGTATTCCCTTCTCAGCGAATACTCATACTTGCTGTTTGCTCTTCCTGCAGTGGTTTCCCCAGCCATTTACATGTGTAGCTCCTGCTCACCATTTGGATCACATCACATATGTCATTTTATCAGAAAGGCCTTTTCTGACTACCCACTGTGCAGCAGCCACCACCTTCCATTCCCAGTACCTCCCATCACTATCTCATGTCTTCACGTGCTCACCAGAAACTCAACTTATTTTGTTTGTTTGATTACTGCTTGTTATCTCCCCGCCCTCTCAGAATATAAGTTCTTTGAGAGCAGGGACATTATCAGTCTTCTTCATTGCTATATTCTTAGCATTTAGAACAATTCCTGCTACACAGCTGTCAATCAATAAATATTTAATGAAAATGGATGTGAATTTCACATTAAAAAATTTTTGGTGCTCTAGTACTTTTTTTAAAAAACTTTTTATTATGGGAGAATTTCAGATTTGCAGAAAAGTTGCAAAGATAGTAGTGTTACCATAAGACATAACCCTAGCTTTCTCTCTTCCCCAGCTTCCCCCAATATTAACAAATTCATTAAAACTAAGAAATTACCATTGGTACAATACTATTAACTAAACTACAGACTACTCAGATTTCACCAGTTTTTTAATTAATGGTTTTTTTACTAGTATCCAATCCAGAATCCACACTGCATTTAGTAGTCACGTCTCCTTAGTCTCCTCCAATTTGTGACTACTTCTTAGTTTTTCCTTGTTTTTCATCACTTTGAAACTTTTGAAGAGTACTGCTCACATATTCTGTATAATATCTAGAATATCCCTCCATGTGGGTTTGTATATTTTCTCATGATTAGACTGGGGTTATGGATTTTTGAGAAGAGTACCACAGAAGTGAAGTACCTACTTATTACATGATATCAGGCGGATAAATGATATCAACATGACATCACTAGTGACATTAACCTTGATCATTTGATTAAGGTGGTGCTTGCCAGGTTTCTCCACTGTAAAGCTACTATTTTTCCTTTTCCATACTCTACTGTTTGCAAAGCAGTCTACACTAAATCCAGTCTATACTCAAAGAGAGGGGAATTAATATACTCATCTGGAGTGAGGAGTATCTACATATATCATTTCTTCCATTCATTTTTAATTATGGGAAAGAGAGGCAGTGGCATTTACTGTAAGTGTCAAAATACAGACGTTATTTGAGTATTTACCTAAAAAAAACAGTTTTATTTGTTAAATACTCTTACCTACCAGTATCAAGATACCAAAGATCCTTGCAGCAAACTTGACTATTCAGTGCTTTTTTGTAACCATCTCTTCCACTCCAAAAATACAAACGTGTGCCAATTGCAACAGCACAGTGTCCAGCTCTTGGTCTTGGTCTTGAATTTTTTTTATCTTCCTGAGAATCTGATACTAGGGTGGTCCATTCTGCTGTATCTAAAAAGACAGACATGTCCATGACTAATCTGTTGTTCTTAAACAACAAAATAACTGAAGTTTTTTTGCTAATAATTTTATTTCAATGAGTAACTCTTAAAAGACTCACCCAGGTTTAGGTAAGAAAATGAACTGGTACATCTCCATTCACAATCATGAGGTGAAGTCTCAGTATTTTCCCCCTTATGTGGAACCCATCCACCAAAAATGTACATCCTGAACAACAAAAAAAAACCAAGAACATAAAGTAGCTGATTTAATTTTACTTTTGAGATTTGAAATGCTAAAAAGAGTAGGCTTAAATTTTTTATTTGTTGACTCAAAGCTTCAGATCCATTCACTCACTTATCACTGTCAAGGTAATGGTAATAAGAAGATGAATACAATAGTCTTCTTTTAAGAATTTGCAATTTTATAAAGCAATAGGTAATCAAAATTATTTCTCTCTGGCAAGTTACTTAAAGTGAGGAATATTTCAATTATAATACATTTGAAAATCAAAATGGTCTATAATATACTAAGGGTACCTAGTCAGAAATACACCCAAATGATCTATGATATCCAAATCCAAATTTAGAATTGTAAGCACATAGCAACCAAAAAGGATTAAATTTCATATAACTTTGGTCACTGATATCACTTAAATAAAAAACTTTAAAAACTTTAAACTGTGTTTCTCAGGGCCCTAGGTCTTTTTTTGTTTGTTTGTTTGTTTTTGGTGATAGGGTGTCGCTCTGTTGCCTGGGCTAGAGTTCAGTGGCATCATCATAGCTCAGTGCAACCTCAAACTACTGGGCTCGAGTGATCCCCTAGGAGTTCTTGAGACAAGCCCAATGGCTGCTGGAGGAGAAAGGCTCATCAGGCAGAGCTTAGGGCCCATGTGACCTCATGCCAACCAGAGCTCTTTTTTTAAAATCTATTTTTTATATTGGGGTTCCAGTGGAAAATTTCATTTTATAAAAGGGTTCTGCTGTCACACAAAAAAATGTATGTTACAAGATTTTGTTTAAATGTAAAGACTATTCTGT